ATCTCCAAACAGTGACCTCAGGCCATGTGGACCCAGTCAAGCCCCTAGTGAAGAGAAAGCAGGAAGATGTGGATTCCTAAAAATGGAGGCAGCTGCTTCCTGACGGAATGTGGTGCCTGGGTCTCATCCTGAACATTCCCTCAGAGGCCTTTCTCCCAAGGGCCACGTATGGCGTGCTCATTTCTCTCTCTGCAGGGTCTCTCAACGCCCATCCACGGACGAGGAGGCTGGGGGAACAGGTCTCAAGAAAGTGGCCTAGAGAACTGGCTGTCATGTGTGCCTGGCCCCGCATGGCCCGCGTAACAGTGAGCCCTGGAGGCAGACCTCATTAGTGTTCTAATTGGATCTGCTTTCACCAGAGCAGTGCCTGACCTGACAAAATGCTCGGAAGACTATGTATATTTGATTTGGAAATGATCACAAATTTACTCTGTGTGTGTGTGTGTGTGTGTGAGAGAGAGAGAGAGAGAGAAAGAGAAAGAAGTGGGGGGAGGGCGGGAGGAAGAGAGTAAGAGGGAGGGGAAGAGGGGGAGGTGGGGGAGAGAGAGAGGGAGGGAAGGGGAGGGGGGAAATAGAAAAGGGGAGAATGAGCAGGGGAGAGGGAGAAGAGGGAGAAGGAGGGCGGACAAACATTCTGCTACCTCAAACTAAAGCAAAAATAAATTTACTTTGTATACTTAGGAAATCAAGCAGATAAGAGTACATTACAAATAATAAGTCCCAACAAACCTTAATCATAGAAGAAATGCTCACTGAACAAATCTTGAAAACCAAAACGTGTGTATCTGAGATACTCTGGTGCTAACACGTCACTCCCACTTATGCTGTGAAGCCTTCAAGGTGACAAGACTGTAGCAGAATCCATGGTGACCAGGAGGAATGCTGGCAAGGGCCGAACGGGCGCTGCCCACGGTGACTAGAAACCTTAACTGACCGACAGGACCCCCCACGGCACCCTGGCCAGCCTTCTGGTGGCAGTAACCGAAGACGAGGTCCTCTGGGACCTCGAGAACCCTGGATTCTGGAGACCTGTGGCAGCGGGACCTGGGGTGGGCGTCGCCGTGAGAGGTGGATGTGGGGTGCAGGCCAGCTCAGCAGGTCGGGCCTGGAGCCCGGCTTGGTTACCTTCCTGCCATCGCCAGACCGTGATGGTGTGCTCGGGGTCCACGCCCACCGAGACCAGAAGCTTCCCGGTGGCGCTGAAGTTGATGTAATTCACCCCCTTGGGATGGAAGCATCGCAGCATGGAGAGGCTGTGTTTGGTCATGGCGTCCCACACGTGGATGGCCGGCGTTGTCCCTGAGCGCGGGAGGGGACAGAGAGCGAGGCTGAAGAACAGTGCAGCCGCCGGCCCAGGTACCCGCCTCCTGAAGTACTCAGGGGTCTTCCAGTGACTGGCACACGAGACCTATATCCCGACCTGCCACAGGCGAGGATGGCGGGCGGCAGGGGCTGGTGGTGCTTTTGAGGACAGAGAACTAGGGCGCTTGGGTGTGACACACACATGGAGGATTTTATGCAAAGGAAACTGGTGAGGTCAAGGATTTGTATCTGCCGCTCGGTCAGATACAAGCAGCAAACACGGTGCAGGGACATGATTTTGCTGTGCTGGGTCACACGCCTCGGGAGGGAGCAGCCTTACCTGGGGTTTCGGTCCTATCCCCTGCAGTGGGTGGGCAATGGCAATGAGAAAGCATCGGGGGAAACAATAGCTAAGGTAAGTCACGTGTTTAAGAGCCAGGCACTCAACACATTCCAAATGAAATTTAACAATGAGCGTGAGGTCGATGGCAGAGCAGGGAGGGAAGCTCATCAGAACCGCCTTTGAAATGACAGACAAAAAGAAAAAGGAGGGGTGGGGGGGAAACCAAACCAACACAAGCAAAAACAACCCAGCAGCAAACTTTGCACAAATGTGTATCTGCTCACATTTGTCTCTGGCGGTTTCCCTAGGGAACAGGGGAGCCAGGTATGTGGGGAGGTTCGGGAGACCCTTTCACATGGGATTAAAGGATTGGCCCTCCTCTCACCCAGCGTAACCCCCCCCCCTCAGGCCTCCAGACCCGGGGCGCTGCCGTGACACCACAGGTGGGTATCAGTGTCCCCACAGGCCCACGGGGTAGGGCTGTCCCTTTATCTGGATGGTCATCTGAGTGTCCACTCACAATCAACTCAGGAGATTTTATCGGGTCTCAAAACCCAATAGCAATGCCACCAAAAAAGGGCAGGTACTAGAGTCCCACCCGCTCCCCCTTCCCAACAACTGGGACCTTGTCTATGCCCCGCTCCACTGGGGAGACGCCTACCTATCTGACTGGTGGCCACCACGTTTCTGTACTTGGGGTGCTGGTTCACCGTGAGGCAGAGGATGTCGTCTGTGTGCTCCAGGTAGAAGCTCTGGCTTCCTAGGGGAGAGGGGTGGAGACGGCCTCAGTAAGCGAGTGCATGAGGTGACAGATCATCCCTTTCTCATGTTTTCTAGACCCAGGAGAAGAGCTGGTGTTTCCTGTCACAAGCCCCGCTTCAGGGTGGTCCACAGCACAGTCCATGCACAGAAGCTTACAATCTCGAGTCTCTCGAGTCAAAAATGATGACACGGGACATTTGCTCCTCCCCAGGGCCAAGGACTGACATCTCCTAAGTCCTCAGAAAGGGCTCCCCAGGACTGGGAGGCTGGGATAGAAGGTGGCCCAGGTGGGCTCTTCCCTTTTAGCCACCTTTGGTCTTCAAGGTGCCAACCCACTGGTACCCGGCAGGCACTGAAGGCCCTAACTCAGTGCCTATCATGAACCAAGCCAGAAAACTTAAAGAAAAAAAAAATAAAATACTGTGTCATTTACGGTAGCAAATGATTTGTTGTCTTCCTAGTGGCTGCCGTGAATGATGATATCCAAGGGACCAGCACACTGTTACTTTAAAGAGCAAATATGTGGCCAGATGCTTGAGAAAATGTACAGAACATCTAAGCGTCCACCTTGCTCCAATAATGTCATCAATACGTGCCCCATCTAACACGACACACAACTAGGAGGGTGTGTAAACTTGGACAAAAATTCGTTTTGCGATATAAAGCAAACAGGTGGTGAAGTATGTTAAGCTAGTTTTCAGATGTGAGTGTCCTTTTTTTTAAAGTTTTGTAACTTAGAATTTAAGAGTCATCCTAACTGTCAGCGTATGCTGAGCATTTCTGCTGCGTAATGGGCATCGTTTTAGAACTATGGCTACTGGGTCAAGACAAAATCTGGAAACTGGTTCTGCTGAAAGTTGACTATTTAAGAAATAACCAGGGAAGGTCTCCTTAAGCTCTGTTCTTAGCTGGTATCTGACTGAGGGGCGCTCTCCACCCACATCCTGCCCGCCCTGTTCCTGGCTTTTCTCTATCCCCTCAGTAGACCCTGAGGGTATCTCACTTCACTTCTGGGGCCCACAAGGTAAGCGTGGCCCGGTGCCAGAGGATTCGGATTCTTGGAATGTGAGTCTAATTTCCTAGGATACCTGTCGGGGAATCCATGCACTGGCTGAAAAGGGAAGAAAAGTGCCTGTGCTCTGGGGACACAGGACTGACCCTCGAGCGTGGACACAGGGAAGGGGGCATCTTGCCCGGTTACCTGTGGACAGGTTCTGCACCACGCCTGCCGCCGCCGTGTGGAAGATGATGTCCGCGCCCTCGTTAAGGTAATGCAGGTTATTGCGGCAGTCGAAGCCCCGGTAGCCAAACACGTGGTCCAGAGCCAGCTCCTGCAATTACACGCAGAGACCCAAGCAGGTAAGACAGGTGAAGGTGAGCTTTGAACCAACACTAAGCCCACAACAGTGGTGTGTGCCCTTAATACAAAGGTGGAGCCTTGAAACACCACTGTGTCCACAGCAGCTGTACGTGCCCTTAACGCAAAGATGGGGCTTCAAACCAAGAACGAATGCTGTGCCCACAACAGCTGTGTGAGCCCTTAACACAAAGGTGGAGCCTCGAAACACCACTGTGCCCATAGCAGCTGTACGTGCCCTTAACGCGAAGAAGGGGCCTCAAACCAAGGAACCAACGCTGCGCCCACAACAGCTGTGTGGGCCCTTAATGTGAAGGTGGAGCCGTGAACCAACGTTGAGCCGACCGCTGTGTGTGCCCTTAACGCACCCGGCGCTGGGTGCCAACAGCCCCCAAACACTAGAACCCTTCTGCGCCTTGAGTAGCTAGGGATCCAGCACAGCTTGTCCTGGGGGCCCCTGAGATGTTAGGGGTGACAGGCCAGTGGACAGCATGAGCATGCACATTCTCAACAAGCTCGGTATGTTCGCTGCTTCCTTAGGGGAGGCCAGTCTCCCAACATGCCCGTCCACCAGGGTTCCTCAGAAGAGGCGTCTGGGCCTCAGCTCGGCAGGTCAGCTGGGCAACGGAGCAGAGATCTGCTCGGATAAGCTCCCGTAAGTGCGGATGGGACGCTGGAGCCCAGATGCAGGCAAAAGCCACACTCGTCCTGTTGCTTGGTGCGCACCCACCAAGCTCTCTCCTGCCCCCCACACAATCCTATACTGTTCTGGGTTTAGTCTCTCTCCCGTGCTGTCTTCTGTCTTCCAGACAAAGCGCAGTGGCTGCGTCATTCAGCTCCACGTTCAGCTCCTTGCTCTGACCCGGCACTGCGCTGGCTGGTGCAATAGTGTCAAGACGTGCGCCCTTCCCTGCGTTCAGATTCGGCCCTTTGCTCTTTCCAAAGCACACCAAGAGCAAGTGTCAGCTTAACGGGACTCAAATATCACGACGCTGCCTTCCTCAAGAGCTTTCATGGCCTCTACTGCATGGATAGCGCCCTAATTCTGTAAATGGGCACATTTAACCCATCTGCACTCCTCTGGCTCCATCTCCCTTACCCGTCAGTCAAGCTATTCGGCCAACACGGAGCGGCTTCTCTGTCGAGGCTCTGTCCAGCCTTCAGTCTCCCTCCTGGACAGCAGCACCCTCCCAGGTAGGTTTGCCAGAGAAAGAGTGTGCAATGTGTGATTGTGTCCCTTGTCCTGGTGGACATCAGGCCCCAACTCGGCCAGCCAGAATGTGTGCCCCAGGAACATGGTACTGAAATGCTAGTACGACTCCGCTGTTGAGTTCATTCAAGAAGTCTACCCTCCGCTGCTTGGGGACACCTACAATCTGTGTGTGCGAAGTCTGTCAACAATTCTTCAGATAGGGAAGAATGCACCAGGTACACAGAGGGCCCTGGGAGCTGAGAGGGCGGGTCATCTTGCTGGCCAAAGTTCCTCAGCTGGACCCTGTCTTTCCTGCAGCTTGGCTGCATTCCTTGACCTCCAAGAGAAATCTCCTCAGTATATTTTTCCAATTAAAAAAAAAAGGTGAGTTTTCTAGTCTCAGTGAGTTAGAATCTAGTAAATTAGACAGAAGGTCAAGGACCTTAGTCTTCAACATGGGTTGAAGCTCAATATCAAGATGATAAAGTTTCTCACCACTGGGCCAACTGGCAGCACCGTGATAGATGGAGAAGAATTGGGGTTATCAGTTACAGCTTGCTCGGATCCACAATCAACACTCTTGGTACCAGCAGTTGGAAAAAGCAAAAGATGAACGGCACTGGGAAAATCTGCTGTCAGGGACCTCACCAGAGTACTGAAGAGCAACGGTATTAGTCTGGAGACTAAGGTGTGTCTGATCCAGGCCATGGTCTTTGTAATTATTTGCTGTATATCAGATAGCTGGGAAATGACCAAGGATGACAGAAAAATCATCAATGCCTTTGAGTTGTGGTGTTGAAGAAGAGTACTGAACATACCATGGACTACCAAGAAAACAAATCAGTGTCTTGGAGAGGGTGAAACCAAGTTTCTCCTTGGAGGCTAGATTTTTGAAGCTCTGTCTCACATACTTCGGGCAAGTGGCCAGGAAGGAATTAACCCTAAGAAGATCATCATGCTTGAAAGGGTGGAGGGGCAGCTCAGGAGAGGAAGACCCCAGATGAGATGGATTGGCACAGTAACTGGGACAATGCAGGTAGGTGTGTTAGGGTCAGTGGCTCAGGATAGAGCAGGGTTGTTATGAGTTGCCAGTGACTTGATGGCACATAGCAACAAAAAGGAAGACAGACAAGTGAGAAGCAATGGTGGTCGAGTGTTGAGTGGGGCTCTGTGGGTGGGGGCAAAGGTGGTGAGATGGAGCCCAGGGAAGACTAAAAACAGGAGCGCTGGGGAGGACCACCTGTGGGGAGTCTGGAAGGGACCTTCCAAACAGAAGAAGTAACACCACGGGGGCTTGAAAGTCCCAGGTAGACACAGAAACATTAAGGGGATGACTACTGATTGATGAACTTGGAAGGTGCTCTGGGTAAAGTTCTAAAGCCACAAACTTGACCCCATTGGCAAGGTGGGGATCACCTGGGTCTTGAAGTTTAATAAGGTGGTAGGACACAGCAGCAATGGAGCGTATGGAAGAAGGAAGACCAGTAATGAGGTCTGTTGCTGGGTGCACCAAGTACCCTACCACTGTGTACCCTAGAGTCGGGACCGACCCACAGCTGACCCTCCAGTGGGCTTTCAGAGTTAATCACAGAGAAGGAGACTGCCCATCCTTCTCCCATGGAGCAGCTGGTGGATTTGAACCGTGCGCCTTTGGGGCTGCAGTGCAGCTTCTTGCTACTAGGCCACCAGAGCTCCTCTTACAATTCACAAAGACCGTATTAACAACAGATCTGAACATGGCCCTGACCCGTCCCATCTTCAGATCTCTGCCACATTCAAGTCCACTATCATAGCCACTGAGTCTGTCCATCTCATTGAGGGGCTGTCTTTTTCAGACCCTCCCACCAACCAGAAGGATGTAAGGGGGCTACTCTCTGCAAACAGCAGGTTTACCAAGGCTGCATCTGGCCTCTTGAGAAACGTGTTCAAATCCCTGTTTACTGGCTCGCCGAGGCTGGGCTTGGGACCTTGCTGTGCCACGGTGCGCTCATCTGTGAAATGGGAACTTTAGTATACCTACCTCAGAGGTCTGAGACACTTCACAGGAAATGTGGAGCCCAGCACGTGCTCAAGGACAGAGCAGCAAATCTCACCACCTCTGTCAACATGTGTTATGTGCGCCTGTCTCTCTACCCTACTGTCTTGTCCGTGGAAAGGATGCTGGGAGTGAGTGGTGCTGGTGTTGGGCACAGGGAACAGACTTGATGGAATATTTCAGCATCAATAGTATCTATGGAAGGGAGCTCAGGTGGCCTAGTGGTAAGAAGCTGTGCTGCAATCCCAAAGGCAAGAGGTTCTAATCCACCAGCTGCTCCGTGGGAGAAAGATGGACAACCTCCTCCTGTGTGAATACTGCCTCTGAAAGCCCGCAAGGGGTCAGTTCTGACTTGACGGCACACAACAACAGTGTCACAGGACTCAGAGGCAGGCCTGGGGGCAGGGATGCAGGTCACAGGGTGTGATTCCGGTGGCTGACGTGGCCAGAGGCAAGAGCGAGCCATTGGCGTCACTGGGCCTGCGAGACAGCATGGGGACACCCAGATGATGATGTCCACTAGGCAGGTCTTAGAATGTCTGTACCTGACCAGGGAGCTCGGGTGGCCTAGTGGGTAAGGGGCTGAGCTGCCAGCCCAACGGCAGGTGGTCTGAATCCACCAGCAGCTTTGAGGGAGAGACGGGCAGTCTCCTCCCATGTGAATTACAGCCTCTGACAACCTGCTGGAGGGTCAGCTATGAGTCAGTTCCGACTGGACAGGGATGTGGGCGAGCACTTGGGCAGAGTCTGCTGGGTGTTCTGTGTCACGAGCTCGCCTCTCTCGCGGTTCAAACCCACCCACGGCTCCTCCGCCACGTGATTTACAGCCTCCGAAGGCCCACAGGCGCATCGGCTAGGAGTCGGTTCCCACCTGCCGACGACGAGAGAAAAGCACAGGCTTGCTCACCTCCACCAGCTTCCTTTTCTTGGTGATGTTGTTCTTCTGGAGTTTCTCGGGCTGGGGCGCTGCTCGGCTGACGGGCGGCCTGGAACAGAGTGGTCGCAGGAAGCATAGTGGTGAGCAAAGACACAAGGTTTCCTGCCCAGCGAGGTCAGCTGAGGCCAGTAACAGGCTCTGCACCCCCCAGAGGGCCTCCACCCGGGCTGCTCTGCCCCCGCCCCCGGGAAATGCCACAAACAGCCCCTAGGGTCAGACCTGGACACAGGAGCCAAGCACTGAGGTACTGGGGTGCACTGGGTGGGGATCAGCCACATCTACCCTCCTCCAAAGGGGATTATTCAGGGATTGCCCAAAAGGCAGCTCTGAAGTTCACAGAGGAAGAGTCCTGAACCCTCGAGCCCCTTTCTGGCAGGGTTGGGCCGAGGTGTTCGCAATGACAGGGTCACCCACCACTTGGTGGTGTGAGGTGGGATTCAGGAGTCTTTGGAAGGGCCCTGGGGCCACATGTGCAGTAGTGCCCAGGTCCTCATCACTCACAAAATGGCAAATAAGAGATAAAAAAGTGAGTAAATGAGAGGGGGGGGCGGCTCTACCCTGTCCTGTCCCTCAGGGTTCTGGTTTACCCTAAGCTACTACTATCACACTAAAAAGATGCTTTCTCCCTTCTCGGTTTTGGGCGTGTGTCTTCCCCATCCTTCATTTGATGCACAGGGACTTTATGAGGGAGGGGAGCCTTGACGGGGTAAATTCTAGGTCAGGAGGGTTTCTCTGAGCTCAGCCTTCTCTGAGACTAGGGGCCCAGGGCCAGTGGAGGGGAACCCGTCCCAGCCCTCCAGTGCAGGTTCCGGGGGTGTGCAAACGAGAAAGGGTGCATTACCTGGATCCCCTTGAAGGCAGCAAACAAAGCCAAGGGAGACACTTAGTAGAGTTGAGGGCAGTGTTAGCAAGCATTCACTCATGCACAAGCACGTCCCAGTGGACAGACATTCCCGTGGGGCACAGACCATGCTACCCGGGCATGACAGCCAAGAGAGAAAACGGGGCACGCAAGGCAGTGCCAGTCCGCGCGTCCGGAGCTGGGCCTGGCCCCTGGGGCCTGCTGGGCACTGCAGGGCCTGCAGAACGTGGAGGCAGCAGGCTTCTCACGCGCTCTGAGAGAAGCAGTGAGCGTTCGGGGCTGAGAAACAGCAGCATCTCGGGAGGGATCACACAATGCGTGCCTTGTCTCCTAGTCAAGCTCAGGGTCTGAATTAGTGGAGCCATCCTCAGTGTCTCCTCAGGGCCGCCTTGCCTGCGGGATGCTGTGCAGGGCTAGGCGCTGGGGAAGACAAGGCACCTTTCTTTTCTGGGGAGCTCTTCCACCAAAACGAATTATGTAACCCTAAGTGCTAATTGGACCAAATGGTCCTGTGGTCCCCATAAAGGAACAGGGTGAGGTGGGAAGCGTGGGCGGGGGAGAGCACAGCTCTGGAAAGCGACACCCCCCCAGCTGATGTCACTGCCACCAAACAGAGTGGAGTGGGGAGGCAGGCGGGGGCAGGAGGTCCCTTCACGTTAACTGTCGCTTCCTGGGACATCTGCTCACTCTTCTGTTTTGGTGGGAACGGCAACCTTCACCTGAGGATGTTTACGTGTGTGACAGAAGCCAGCGGGGCGTGTGATGGGCGTGTGTGGGCACGGATCGCACGGCGTCTGAGATGAAGCTGGGGCCTCCGTTCTGGGCACGCACACACACACCCTGGTTGTATAATACAGGAGATATTATACAACGTGTGCAGACGATGCATACAGGCACAAACACTGTGCACTTATATATACACCAGCCTGTGTATATACGCACGGACAGGCAGTCCAATGTGCTTTTGGGTTTTTTCACCTTGGGTTTTTTTTTTCTTTTTCTATTTCTCACTTAAAAAAAAAAAACCACCACCAAAAACACCTGCAAAGTAAAGCAATCTCGGAATGTGTCTCATTTCACAAGCAGGGGTAGGGCTTCGAAACGCAAGATGACAGGGGCAGAGGGAAGGAGCCTGCGTGGGGTGAAGTCAGCAGATGGTCAGCACGGCCCTGTGTGCCCTGGGCACCCGCAGACAGAGGACCGGGTGTCCATGCGACACCCGAGAAGCTCTGCAGCGCAGTGAATACTTACTTGACAATTCCCTGCCTCCAAAGGAAAGCAAGTTAAAACACAATTCAAGCATTAGAGGCGTCTTTCCAGGCAGCTGGAAACAGAGTGTGTGTGTGTGTGTGTGTGTGCGCGCGCGCGTGCGCGCGCGCGCTTTAACATCAGACGCGGGAGTATCTGCCAAAAATGTCACACACAGCCAAATACTGAAGGTCTAGTGTTTGTTTTTCTCCCCTCTCCCCCTGTGGATCGAAATCCTTCCAGATTCGGATTCCACTGGAATTGTGACTCTGAAAAGCTTTGCTGAGGTGGGAATGAGCAGAGAGGCGTGAGGACATCCACTCCCTTTTCGGCCCAGTAAACTCTTTATTGCACGTTGCTCCCTGTTGGCACCGGCGGTGGGAGAGAGGAAGATGCCCAGTGAGGCTGGAAATTGGCAGGGAGCCCCCTGGGGGGGGCAAGTGGCTACAGACTGGGCTGAGTTGAATCTCCGAGGGGCCTCAGGGGAACAAGCAGGCCTTTGAAAGGACTCAGGCAAAGGAACAAAGGAAAAAGGGGCGAGAAATGGAAGGAGGGGGCTTGGTGAGAGAGTAGACGTACTGGACAGGGAGGAGAGAAGACAGAGGTCAAGCTGAACTCCATAGAAGTTTCATGAAGAGAGAAGAGGAGGAAACAGGAGGCAGGAGACTGTGGACTTGAACTCGCGACCTAGTACTCACTGCCGAGGCAGACCTGTTCCTGCCCAGTGCTGGGGCTAGAGGCTGCTGAAGATACATCCCCCCAGTCATAGGTGGTCAGTGCCTGAAAACCCTGCTCCCTGTCTAAGCGTCTGGTACTCTCTGTGGGCCAGGCCGGGCCATGAGCTCTGCTGTCATTCCATCGTCTCAGCTAAGCCTGCTGCTGGAAAAGCCTGGACTCATCTGAGGGTGTGTGGGTGTCTCCCTGACACAGGCTCTCCCTCCTCAGAGGCCCCTAAGCGTGTCTGTCCCTCAATGTCCCTTTCTGAGGTAACTGGCTGAATGAGGAGCAGAGCAAACCCTGGGAGACATAAGGTGTGTAGGAGACAGCTCGGAGCCTGGGCTTCACAGTGAAGATTCTGGAAGGACTGAGAAAGTTAGGAAAGCTTCAGCCCAAGATGAATGCAGCGTAAGAGCCAACTGGGAAGACAGGCTCAGAAAGACTGCAAAAGAAAAAGAAAATCCTTCCAAGCGGGTTTTAGAAAGAGCAGCAGGGACATATGACACTCAGCTCCAGTTAGCTGAGAAATGCACGTTTGACAGTGTTTTCAGTTGTTTCAGGCAGACAATGCTTAAAGTGCCCTTGGAGAAAATAACAGCTCTGTTTTCAGATTCTAAAATGTGCCAGAAATGACTAAGCGTTTTCAAAATTTCTAGTGAAATCCAGGTTCCTGGTTTTAAGGGAAATCTATTTTAGAATTACCCCCCATCTACATTGCTGACACCATGGAAGGGCTTCAAGGCACTGGGCGAACCACAAAACACTAATGCAAAACGGTATATGCTTGTACTCGTGGAGGAAGGAACCATGAGTGGAATCGGAGCTGAAAAGATGTCTACAATTATCCAAGTTAGCAGAAGAGATTAAGAACCGCTGCTGTAGGGAAAGTCCAGGTAGAGGAAAATCCTCCAAAGCCATGGGCATGCAGGTATCAACCCAAAAGGAACTGGCATCTGTTAAAGGTATTGCTGTGTCATCCGGAATAATCGGGAGAGCTGCTTGGTGTCAGCTGGAGGAAGGCAGTCAGGCAGGAGGACCACGAGATGCCCTAAGAGGAGGCTGCCACCTTGAAAACGCACCCGACTGTAGGGAGCTGTGGTGTTGGGATGAACACTGAACACCCCACCGATTGCCAAGAGAATAAACAAATGCATCCTGGAGACAGTGCGGCCAGAGTGCTCCTTGGTGGCCAGGAGGACAAAGCTTGGTTTCGCCTCTTCTGGGCATGTTGTTAGGAGGGAACTTGGAGAAGGACATCACGCTTCGAAAGGTGGAGGGTCAGAGAAATAGACGAAGACTGTCAAGGAGATGGACTGGCACAATGTCTGCGGCAATGGCCCTGGGTCAGAGATGAGGATGGCATGACCCCAAGTGGTCCACGAGCCGCTCCGCAGAAGAAAGATATGCAATCCCCTCCCACCTGATTTACAGCCTCCAACAACCCAGGGCTAGAGCTTGGTTCTGACTCGATGACAATAAGAAAGTGATATCACAGCTTAACTGTTTTAAAAATGGGAATAAAGCTCCAGATTTGGCTATTTTCAGTGACTATCAAATGAACATAAAATTATTGGTTATTAAGGGATCCCTGACTGTCTGTGGGTTGCTGCCTAGCAGTTCAGCTTCTAATCCAAAGGCGGCACTTCTCTGGCGGTTTGAATCCACCAGATGCCCAGTAAGAAAAAGACAGATAATCTCCCATGAGATTTACTGTCTCTGAGACCCCAGTGCAGGGGCAGGTAGGAGCTGGTTCTGAATGGATGGCAGTGAGGGATTAAATTATTTGGGTGAAAGACTTGAGTCATGACAGATGAATTGGCGAGAACTAGGAGTGAAGAAGGGAGCTCTGGTGGCCTAGTGGTAAGAAACTGTGCTTTCAACGCAAAGGCACACGGTTCGAATCCACCAGCTGCTCTGTGGAGAAAGAGGGTTCCATTCTGTGGTGATTTCCTGCCCCTGAAAATTTGCGGGAAGGTCAGCTCTGTGCTGGTTCTGACTTGATGGTACTCGACAACAAGAACAAGAGCGGAGACGGGAGAGTGATAATTCTATCACTGTGATAATCAAGGGGAGGGCGATGAGGAACAAGGAACGGACGTAAGTCGGGCTGTGGAGTGGGACACCAGGGAGTATCTCAGTAAAGTGGACTTGACGCGACCTTGACATCCTTGGGCTCAAGGAGGGAGGAGGAAGAACAATCCAGGTCTCTTCTGGGATGGATC